GGGCGGGAAGGGCCGAGGGCAGCGGCGGGAAGGCCGGGGGGCCGACCTCCCCTTGCTCGCCGAGGCGGGGGGAGGCAGGCGCGAGGGGCTGGGCGGGTGGGCCGACCTCTGCTGCTCGTGTGGAGACAGGGGAGGCTGGGGTGGGGGTGGGGTGGTGGAGTGCTGGCACGACGCGGTGGTGGGGTGGGGCCACTGGTGGGGTGGGCTGTGTGGTGGGGTGTGTGGGTGGCTGGGTGGGTGTGTGCGGGGCAGGCAGGCTGGTGGGGTGGGGTGGGTGGGCGGTGTGTGGTGGAGGGCTGGGGTGGGGTGGGTGAGGCTGTGGTGGGGGCAGGGGGGGTGAAGCAGGTCTGGGTGGCAGCAAGGAGAAGCCTGCCAATGTGGTGTGGGCGGCGGGTGTGCGGCGCAGTGTGGGCATGGGCGGTGGTGGTGGGGCGCAGCGTGGGGCATGCCGTGGGGGGGGGGGAGGAGATGGTCGAGCGGTTTTTTTTCTCAAGATTTCGATCGGGAATTTGGGCTGCGGCTCGATTTAGGTTTCGGTCCTTTGCCGAGGGCCCAGATCCAGGGCCCCTGGCAAAGATTTTTATTTTATTTTAAAATTCTTTCTTGCCGATGGCCACGGGCCAGGCCCTCGGCAAAGAGCCCTTGGCAATTTTTTTTTGTTTTTTAGCTCAATTTTTTTGTGGTCCTACAATACATTGTTTTGAACTCAATTTTAAAATTTAGGTCAATTTTGATTTTGTTTTGTATATTTCCTTAATTTATTTCGATTCTTTGATTTTTTTTTCGAATATGTCAAATTTGAACTACAGGTGCATGGAATATTACAATGTAGTATTTCAAAAAATGTTATTCATATCAATTGGTGCATGTTGAGTCCCTATCCACAAACTCGCATCAAATTTCAATTTTTTATCTTGTTACACGCGTAACATGACATTTCGCCAAGTTTTTAGGAAAAGTGTTTTAGATTTTATATAAAATCCATACGAAGTCGAATGTTACAAAACAAGGTGAGATGTCATTTGATGCAAGTTCGTGATAGGGACTCAAAGATGTGGTAATTAATATGAATAAATTTTTCAAACACTACATTGCGTCGGATGCACTGTTAGCTCAAATTTGACATATTCAAAGGTTCGGATAGGCAAAGAATCAAATAAATTTAAGGAAATATACAAAACAAAATCAAAATTGGCCTAAATTTTAAAATTGAGTTCAAAAATTTTAAAATGTAATGTATAGGACCACAAAAAAACTGGGCTAAAACCAAAAAAAAATTGCCGAGGGGGCAAAGAATTTAAAAAAATAAAAAATCTTTGCCGAGGGCCTATCTGACCCTCGGCAAAGGGCTTCTTTGCCAAGGGCCTAGCCTCGGCCCCTCGGCAAAGACGATTTATAAAAAAAAATTAGCCGAAAAACTGGTTTTAAAAAAAATCTTTGCCGGGGCCTGATCTAGGACCCTCGGCAAAGACTTAAAAAAATTGCCGCAAAAGATGGTTTCATAGAAAAAAAAAAACCTTTGCCGAGGACCTAACGGGTGGCCCTCGGCAAAGGTTGACGGGAAATGGCCGCCGTGACCCAACGGGCCTAATTTGCCGAGGGCATCTTTGCTGAGGGCCGCGGCCCTCGGCAAAGATTTGATTTGCCGTGGGCCTATCTTTGCCGAGGGCCGTACCCTCGGCAAAGGCCTCTTTGCCGAGGGCCATTCTTTGGCGAGGGCTCCTGTGGCTGGCCCTCGGCAAATAGTGTCTTTGTCGAGTGCCCGAGATTTGGCCCTCGGCAAAGCCTCAGGCCCTCGGCAAAGCACGCGTTTTCAGTAGTGCAGCCACACGTGGCAATGCATGACTGCGTCAGGGTGTCAGCAGTAGGCAGAGGAGACGGTGATGATGATCCTACATGCAACAAAGACCATGTTGGGCCTATGGGCGCAGGAATGGGATTAGTGAAAGTGTCCAGGAACTCAAAGTCCACGGGAGAGGGTGTGGTGGGCTGCTCGGCAAAAGGAAAGGAAAACTCATCAAAGATCACATGGCGAGAGATGATGATCTTGTTGGAGTTGGTGTCTAGACAGTGGTATCCTTTATGATAAGCAGAATAGCCAAGGAAAACACACGAAGTGGAGCGCAGAGCGAGTTTGTGGACAGCTATGGCGGACAAGTTGGGATAACATCGACAACTGAAGATGCGCGGATGGTCATATGTAGGCGGAGAGCCAAGCAAGGCTTCATGAGGTGTACAGGAGCAACATTTTGGTTGGTAAGATGTTGGGGAGTATGGTGGCAGTGTTTAGTGCCTTGACCCAATAACAAGGTGGAAGACAAGCTTGGAAGAGGAGGGACCAAACAACATTGTTGAGGGGGCGGATAGCTCGCTCAGCCTTCCCATTTTGAGCAGATGTGTAAGGACATGTTATTCCGAGGTGAGTGCCATGGGTGAGGAAGAAGGTGCGGGCGCTGGAGTTGTCAAACTCGCGCCTATTGTCACATTGGACAGACTTGATGGTGTGGCTAAACTGTGTGGAAACAAGAGCAAAGAAATTAGACAGGGTTGTAAAAGTGTCAAACTTTAGGTGTAAAGGAAACGTCCACATATAATGTGAGCAATCATCGAGAATGACCAAATAATAGTAGTCAGGAGGGGCAGCCCACTGCCCCTGGGCGCCGGCCACAAAGGCCTGCTGCTGAGGTGCAGGGGCCGGCAGTGAAGGACGAGCAGCCGGCAGCGGAGCCAGGGGAGGACAATTCCCGGGCCACATGCTGATGGAGCCGGACCAAGGCTTGTAGAAGCTGGGCCACAAACCGCCTGGTGGAGCCTGCGCTGGGTGCTGCTGGTGCTGCGCAGAAGGGCTGGACCAGGGGGTGGGCGCGCTAGACTGCTGCCCCTTGCCCTTGCCACCGCGCGAGCTTCGCTTGTCGTCCTTGCCGGAGTTCTTAGAGTTGCAGCTGTTTCCAAGAGGGCCGCTGGGGGGCTGCTATGGTGGTGCGGCGGGCTTGCTGGTTTGCTGATGAAGATGACCAGCTAGCGGTGCCGCCAGCACTAGAAGCAAGGAGGGCAGTGGGTGAAGGCGTCGAGCGATGAGCCATGTTGAGCTCTTCAAGCAGGAGGTTGGTCCGGGCTTCTAGGAAGGTGGGGAACGAGCGCCCCTGCTGGAGGTGCATGCCGATGGAGGCGAAGCGCTCATTGAGGCCGCGGATGATGTTGAGGACGAGCGTACGATCAGTGACGACCTCGCCCAAGTCGCCCAGGGCATCGGCCATGGATTTGAACTTGCGGCAGTAGTCGATGATGGAGAGGTCACCCTAGACGAAGTTGAGGAAGACGGCGTCGAGGTAGAGCGCCCGCTGCTCGCGGTTGCCGAGAAATTGGTGTTCCAGGGTGAGCCAAACGGAGCGAGCGGTGGATGGGTCTTCCCGGACAATCTCCTTGAGATTGGGAGAGACGGTGCCGAGGAGCCACGTCATGATGACGCAGTCCATGCGCTCCCAGTCGGGGTATGTGTGGTCAACGACGTCAGCGAGAACATGGCGCTAGAGGGAGAACTTCCCAAAGAACCAGAAGCATCTGGTGGCGCTAGCGGGTGTAGTTGTTGGACTCCATGTCGAGGACGGCGGGGACGAGGCGTGGATGTTCTGGACACCGAACCCTAGGCATGGAGGTTGATGATGGCGGCGGCCTCGTGAGCCAAGAGAGCATCTCGGAGCGGCTGACGTGGACCACAGTCGCCACCGTCGCTGGCAGAGGAGGCGTCGTCATCGTCGTGTTGGATGGCGGCCTCGGCCGCTTCCCGCTCGCGGGCCGCACGTGCGAGCGCGCGCGGCGGAGGCACCGCGCTCCTGGGCCGTGGGCGCAACCTCCTGCTTGGCGGCCTGGGCGCGCTGGAGGGCGGTGTCCCGTGCAGCAGCCTGCTGGCGGCGGCGCTCCTCGGCCGCACGGGCGTTGCTTCGGCGGCGCGGAGGCGCTCGGCTTCCAGGGCTTGCGGAGCTTCAACATCGGCGGCAGAGGAGGCGGGTGGAGCAGACCCAGGCATGGCGGCGGCGGGAGGGGAGGTACCGGCGCGAAGGATGTGCAGCCGGAAGGCGCGCGACGTGCGCAGCCAAGGGGTGCGCGGTGGAAGCTATATAGGCAAGGAGGACTCTGGGCTAGTTTATAGAAGTACGACCACCGTGGGATCTCCTTGCCTAATATAACATCGATCAATCTATAATTAGCCATAATAGGCCAATGGCCCAAGTGCCTATGCGGCTGTCTAACTGAATGATTGCTGGCAGCCGGTTATGATTGAATGAACTGACTGAGCTTCTCCACTAGCACATCTATTCTGGTGTGGATGCTAAGGAGTATGCTTATATATTTCTTGGTTTCAATAGAACTCCTTACGAGAAATAATTATTTCTGACATGAAGAAAAATTTTCCTTTTTAAATTCTTTTTTTAGTATATGAAGCAAAAAGAAAGAAAAGGTAGATAATGATTGTATTCTTTAGTTATATCTCTATGTTTTATTACTTAATTTATGAATTTCACAAAAGTTGTTCTTGGATTGGATTCGTACGAGAATCCAAAGAATTACAACAAAAACTTTAGAAATCACATTTTTGTAGTTTGGAATCTGGCGAACAAAGTACTAGCTCGAAGACACGGCGTTTAGGGCACCCTAAGAAAAGCCTTGGTACAGGTTGCTAAGGAATCCCCATGCCTGCGAGCAGCGAGCTCCCAGTTCTATACGTAAAGAAAATTGTCAAGGGACGCCACATTATATATTTCGAGTAGCTTTGTGCAATGCAGCCGTCCTGTGCAATTGCTTAGTGTGGATAAACTGATTTTTATTTCCATAGCGCAAGAAACCCAAGTTTGATTACTTACATATGCACATCCAGATATTCAGATAACGACTGCTGATATAGCTACGCTTACTACTACTCTGCTGTCAGCAGCAACCTGAAACCGGGCTGAAAAAGCCTGCAAGCACAAAGGGCTCCAGACACAAGCCTGAATAGTGCCCTAATAATGCTCCAACGCTAGATCAAATGCGGTGAACGAATAGGGAGCGAGCAAGGCCTGCATCTCTGCTCCTGCACCGCGCAGCTCTCTGGTAACAGGCACAACCTGCACCATTTGCAAACTTAATTTTAGCTCCACCATTTATGCAGGTTTCAAAGTTCAGAAATTATTTGCGCTGACATTTATGCAGTGCTTGTATTCAGATGATTGCAATACAAAAGAGCTTGTAAAAAGCAGTCACCCCCTTACATTATTTGGGTTGCCGAAGGAATTTCCATGCATCACATTGTTGGACGTCAGAACAGTGACTCTTGATACCTTTGCACTGACACCAACTTCAAGTCCAGTTGCATGTATTGTGAGGTTCACAGCATGAGATCCGAAGTTTACTATCTGCAAAGGTTTCGGTGCTCATTTCAAATGTTTCAGCACTTATCAAATCAGTTGAAGCAATGACACAAAGTCTAGAAGAAAATAAGAAATTGTTGGTATTACCTTTACCCTCAGGAAGCTATTCTCAGTGTCTTTCCAGGTGATAGCTGATGCCGCCAATGAATCAGAGTAGCTGGATATGACTGAAACTGGATGAATCACAGCGCCACTTGATTCACGGAAAAGCATCTGCATCCAGTAACTAGGAGTTCCATACTGTTGCCAGGAGTTGAAGACTATTGCATCTGGGAGCCACCTGATTAGCATGTTTCCAGACTATGACTACAGGTGTAACCAATATAGAAAACAAGATAGACTAAATAGAGCAATGATAACCTGCGATCATTGTCGTTCACAAAAAGTGGCGCGTAACTTGCCATCTCGACAGCATCACTGCAAAGAAGCGAGTTCCTTAGAACCTCAGGAGAGAGCAAGGACAGAGGGAGGGAGAGATCACCTGTTTTTTTCTAATCCAATGAGGAAAGCAGCCTCAGCCAGTGAAGCATAAAGGGTCGCTTTACCAGGATCTTTGTTACCCTGAACGGCATATTCGCTAACAAATGCCTGTAACAAGATCATTGCAAAATGCAACTGAGTATTATAGATTGTAGATCCAGTCTAGAGCTTATGTCTTCAACAGGTTATGTGGAATATATGCTTCCAACCATATTTAGTTTGACAATTACAACAATGTATATATCTAATTTAGGTAATTTCATATGAGTTTAGTCGTCAAACTATTTCTGTAAATATCTTTAAAGAAATCAGGAAGAAAAGTAACGAGTAACCTTTGTAAGACCAAGAATGCATTAAAAACACCAATACATAGGTAAATTATTTCATACTAGGCAATAACATCATACCTTAGGTCTGGTACGTGGTGCTGTGTCAAACTTGTTCTTCTGGAGGAACATATATGTAGCATTAGCATATATCTACAAAACATGTAGACTCTTAAGTTTATAATAAGAAAGGATAGCATATAGCTTAGACAATTGACTAACAATGAAGAACGTAAAGAGTAAGAAATGAATAGCTTACATGAGAATCATACAAATCAGCGGGATGGGCAAGTGGTAAGCGGTCACAGTTTGAAATAATTTGAATGTCCGGATAAGCATCTCGTATAGAATAATAGAATTTGATGTAATTTTCTACTTAAGCAGAATTAAATAATATCAGGGTCAGAGTAGGACATTCATGGTAGCTGTTCAATATTAAAGCCAATTGATAATGGTTTTATGTACCTTGGTAAAACTCCTTAAGACAGTCTTCGTTTCCAATTGCAACATACTTCAGTGGGAATCGTTCTGGATGCCCCATTGCAGCTCTAATAGAACCCCATGCTGACTCCTCACTTCCCATTGCAAACTCAAGGCCGTCCAAAGCATCCTATATCAGGAAAAACAAACTCATGAAATAGAGCATGTAATAATTAAAATCATCAAGAAATGCACAGTACATGTGGTCATCATTCAGATTCTGGAAAAAAATTAGTTTTTATATGATTTTCCTTTGAAAAGATCATTGAGGCTACCAGAACTGAGCTTGCTGATCAAAAGACTCCAGATTCCAGAGATAAAAATGAGCTACATGGGTTTAAAACTTATACAAAATCCAGAAAAAAAGCAGAAGACAATGATCGATGATATTCTAACACAGGAGGAGAAAATTTTTATGTTACATGATGCAAACAACAAAAGATCATATATACCTTAACGAAAGGTTCAATCATATCAAGTCCATCATTGTGGCTGATACCTAAATTCAAGACAAGAATCCGAACTTAATGGGTATGCTGATGATGATTAAACATAAAACAAAAAGGGACTTTTCTGTCAAATCATAAACACTGTCAAATCACAAACACCACCTACCAGCATTGAAGACCCAAACTGGGAGAGCCCCCAGGTCTTCAGCAAGCTTTTGTGAACAGTTCAGAATAAAGATATGATCAGTTAGGCTGAAATCAAAAGAAGCAAAATCAGATGACATCAATCAAAATTTACCAGTAGAAACTCATAAAAGCCAAGGCCATCATCGGTCCAGTAATTCCAAACGTCGCCATAGTGCCCAGGCCTTTCTTCCCATGGACCAATAGTTTCCTTCCATCTGAAAGCATTTCTTAACCAGTTGCCCTCAACAAAGCAACCACCTACAAGAGTTGTATGCAATCTAGTAAATTATCACAAATATGTCTGCACACTTATCAATATATCATATACGTACAAACATCAATTACTTGATTTTAATTAAGAAAATACATCTCATTACCAGGAAATCTCATGAATCGTGGTTTTAAATCCAAAAGCATGGTTATAAGTTCTGTGTGAAAACCATGTCCCTGCATGAATAAAGAAGAATCGTTGTTAAATACGTAGATAAACTTATGCACAAGCATATAAGCATGGCTGTATGCTAGAAAGATATCAAATTCACTTATGTATGCATTAAATTCATCAAACAAACCAAAGCAGTAAAGTTAGTTATAAACGACAGTTAATAGATTACTGTAGTTCTAAATGTGGCTACAAACTTTGTAAATGTGTTTTGGTTCAGAGACTAGGATTGCATTGCCAAACAAAGTTGTTTTACTGCCTGTATGCTTTAAATTTTATACCTTTTTTTTCATACCATAGAGAACAAAAGTTATACTATATCTTGTATGTGTCTGCAGGCATGAGTGATACTTGATCAAACCATACAGTTCCTTTCTGGCTAGTTGTTATTTGAAGCCTTGAAGTTCTATTCGTGCCTTTAGCAACCAATTTTTGCTCCAGTTTTGTCCAATTTGATGTGCCAGAAACTCTACAACAGGGCAATACTATCAGTTATTGTGAATAACAAAAATATTTTCTCCTGCCTAAATACCAAGAGAAAATATACTAACGTTATCGTAGCTGAAGCCAGGGTTTGTAACCCATCAGAGCTTGTCAATTGAACTGTCAGCTCTGATGGTTGTGTTGACTTGACATACATGACAAGATGGTAGGCCTTTCCACCTTCTATGTTCTGTAAGTTGAAATGGTAACATTACAGAGAAGATAAAATTAAAAAAGGTAGGAAAAGAGAACATGTACTGAATATATACCTAACATCAGAACTTGAAAGGTATCACCACCAAAAGGATCAGAAGAAAATGCATGGAGCTCAAACTGTCTTAAATCCTAATGCTACGCCTATAGCTATTGCTGTTGCTACTGCTTTCGGTAATTGGCATAACTAGTTACTTATGACGAAACCAAATCACATAGAAGCACTACATTAGGCTACAACATTATTATACGAATTACTGATACAGTAACATGAATAGAAACCAAACACTGGGTTGCTAGGTAGTCTACTTTCACCTATCAGAAAAAACCTATACATTTCACTGTGTGTCTACACCATAGCGTATGAACTGAACTTAAACAATATTCTATAGATTACACCTGTAAGTTATGCTAATATACCAGTTGGCTTATGTAATAGGATGAATTCATACCATGCCCCAGAATCCTGGGTTGTATACGCCAACTCCACCAGGTAGACACTTCTCAGAGAACCTCCATTCTCAGAGCAACAACATTTTTAGTGAAACAAGAGACCCGGTCAGTCGTCAGATGTAGGGAGGATTCATCCCCAATGACGCTCCATGGGTCTATGGTTGGAGTGTTGTTTATGTGGGCTTCAAAACCTACAATGGTTAGATAAGGTGAAACTTCAAATACTAATGACAGTGACATTGTAAAAAATCTCAACTACTTAAGTAGCAGGATTGAGCTAACCAACAAGCAGCATGAATAATTGAGAATAAATAACACCGTCAAGAAGATTTCTTCTAGAGCCGTCCCTTTTGTAAGAAATATTATGGCTCCTCCAGGAACTCGGTGGTTTAGTTTGAAAGATAGGAGGAATTTACTACCTTTTTTTTTTAAAAAAAAAGTAAGTAAACCATTTGACCTGACTGATTAACTGAACCCCTGTTATAACGGACATCATGGGGATATCCTGCCATAGTTTCAGATGAAAATTCTACTAGGTGACTAGTGATAGTACATTCAGAAAAGGAAGAACAGCTATCACAAGCACCTCTGTTGCTAACCAACTCTGCCCATAGCCCACCAGCACCGGCGTGGTTGATCTCCTGCAGTATTCCCTGATTTAGTCACTATGAAGAAATGGTGCATAACACATACTCCTACATAAGGAATTGGAGTATGAAACAAGGAAATTTGCATAAATAAAGGTTTGAGCTTCTAAGGAAACGCCGAACCAAAACTCACACACGAACATTAAAAGTTTCTTTTTCTTTTTCTTTAAAAAAAAGCAGAGACTAAAATGAAGTATCTTCCCGGCTTTATAGAAAGCTTAACAGATACATCTGATCCAAACTGCTGGGAAAACAGTGCAAAAACAGGGCAGAAGGCACAGCAAGCTCCTGCCAGCCAAAGCACTCGGTCCAGCAGCCAAACCACCTGTGGGAAAGGCTGTGAAGTGAACGCAAACATAATGATTGAATAAAATAACCCTAAAACCCCCCAAACTTTTCATGCCCACGGAATCAACCGAGAGGCAGGAGGAGGTGTAAGGCAAACAACAACCAAGTGGTGATCTCGGAGTTGTAATCAGTCAGATGAGCCGCCGCAGGCCAACCCCAAGCAGCGTGCTCTGGCCGCGGCATTCCCTCCGGCCTCTCCGCGCCAGATGTACCAGGGTCTAGCACCCTGAGACGAGGGGGTGAGGGCGGAGGTGGGTGAGGGGTTACGGACAGGACGGAGGAGGCGAGTGCCCTCCTCCTCGCCATTGCCGCGAACCCGCGGCCGCGAGCTCGAGAGGAGGGGAAATGGGATTGGACTGGACGGGGAGAAGGAAGAGAGGAATGGGCTGGAATTGGTTGATTAAGCCCGCCCAGCCCAGTATTAGGGAGGGGGCTTGATGGGCCGTGACTATTCATTACGCCTGGGCCTGGCCTGCCGCCTGCTACTGCTATGGCTGTCTTCTCCGACCTCCTCCCTATGATGAATATCTGATCTGATTAAGCGCCGAACTGTTGATTACATCAAAATTTAAGCAGATGGATGACCTAAAGATTCTACCCAACTATATAACCACAGTCATTTCTAAAGCATGATGAGTATTTGTGGGATACATACAGATTTGCTGGTTTATTCAGAAATCAAAGGAGATATCGAGAGGAGGGGACAAAAAGAAAAAGAAAAAAAAGAAGGAAAGAAATAGAAACGAACAGCAAGTCAAGATTAAAGATCAAGAAACGACGGAACAGCATCATCACAAGAAAAGAAAAGAAATGAAGGAAGATGAATTATGAGAGGAAGGAAGAATTGAAGAAGACCTCGAAGAAAACCCCAAACAGTGTTTGTGGTATCTCACGCGCCTTGTCCCAGGACGCATCCACGTCCAGACTTGCTGCTGCTGCTTCGTCTTCTTCATCACCGCCCAGCGGCAGCCCTGCTCCTCTCACCACCGTGAACGCGAGAATGGAGCAGCAGCACAAGATGGCCCAGCTGCTGCTGCTGCTGCTGCTGCAACGATTCACCCCCTGCTGGTGCTTCTTCTTCCTCTGCTTGGGTTTGGATCCCAGCATGCTGCTGCTACCTGCACAAGTGCACGTGTATACATATATTATATGCACATGTATACATTATATCTATACATATAAGGCTCAATGTATGTATGTATCCCGCGTATGCATGCAAACACTAATACATCAAGAAATTAAAGGAAAGAGATATATCGTCGAGGTCGGATCGAAGAAACAATTTACTGCAATGCAATCATCAACTACTGGATCGGATCGATCGGAGATAGATGCATCATGCATGCATGAATACAAAGAACAAGATGGAGGAGAAATGGCCGAGTAGCTAGGGTGTATGTACGAACATAACTCGCCTGGATAGACGATGCTCAGCACGCGGTTTGGGGTTGGTGGGTAAGCTCAAGGGATCAGATGAGTCGGAGATGGATGCTAGCTGCAGCGTGTGTGCTTCTATATATGAGTGGGTTGCAGTGCAGTGCTTCGATCTGTTCTGTGACAGCTCATCAATCGCTCTCCACTCTAGTGTTCTTTTAAGCATGAGAGAAGACTCAAAATGCACATGGTACCAAAAAATATGGGTATCCTATGCTTACCAAACGAGGAAGGAGGATTAGGCATACCAAAAATGGCGGCATGCATAATACCAAAAATGGTATGCTGACAAAAGGAGCAAGGAGGTTTAGGAACCCAGACCTGCTGGAGACTTAAAATACTTGTTCTGATTAGCAAGTGCCTTTTTAAACTAAATCAATGAGGATGGATTTGACAACAACCTTTTTTAGGATCAAGTATTTAATTTCACACTTTTGGCCGGGCACGGCCCCTTACCAAGGTCCAAGCTAAGATCGTTTATTTTCTATAGATTTATCTAGTTTTAATCCATATGATGTGATCCAGGTTAGGTCCATGGAGAATAAGTGTGGTTTAGAAACTTGTATTAAAGAACTTAATACTACACCCATCTTTATATATATAACATTGTTAGGAAAAAACATAAGGAACCGTTTGGATATTCCTTTCATTTTGGGGAAATGGAATCTACTTAATATACTAGGCTATTTGGTTTGGAATTTTACATTCCATAACTTTTCAAAGTTCACGTATAAACCTATCTCAAATTCATAGGGTGGGAGATGGAAATTGATTCTATAGATCACCATGCTATGTTTCTACTTTACAACTTATAACACGTTCTTCAACTCGCTTCCCTATGGTAGAAATACAACACATATATCTCTCTCGTTTAGCCCACAATAATGTACAAATATATTCCATATACAACTATATTAGCTTAATTAATCTGTGTCAAAATTATAATTATTAAAATAAATTCAATTCCAAAATCCAAACGGGCCAATACTGAAGTCAATTTGAATTTCTAAAGTGTGCTAGTTGGTAACACTCCTCGGCTATACATAGCTCAAGGGAGATGGATATATGGTCATATGGAGTGTGCATCAGTGAGAGGGGCGTGCAGTGCTTCTGTCCTGGCAGCTCAATCTCTCGCCACTCTGGTATATTCTTTTAAGCACCAGGCAGTTGCACAGGGCTCAAGTTAGAACTACATGCAGTGCTAGCTTCTTTTAGACGAGAGAGAAGACTTGAAATGCACATAGTACCAAAAAAATGGGGTATCCTATACTTGCCACCGTGAACGCGAGAATGGAGCAGCAGCACAAGATGGCTCAGCGGCTGCTGCAACGATTCACCACCTCCTGCTACTGTTTCTTCAGCTTGGGTTTGGATCCCAGCATGCTGCTACCTGCCAAGTGCGCATGCATACATTATATGCACATGTATACATTATATATACATATAAGGCTCAATGTATGTATGTATGTATGTATGTATGTATGTATGTATGTATCCCGCGTACGCATGCAAACACTACATCAAGAAATTAAAGGAAAGAGATATATCGTCGAGGTCGGATCGAAGAAACATTTTACTGCAATGCAATCATCAACTACTGGATCGGATCGATCGGAGATAGATGCATCATATGCATGCATGAATACAAAGAACAAGATGCATGGAGGAGAAATGGCCGGGTAGCTAGCTAGGGTGTATGTACGAACATAACTCGCCTGGATAGAAGCTCAGCTCGGCACGCGGTTTGGGGTTGGTGGGTAAGCTCAAGGGATCAGAGTCGGAGATGGATGCTAGCTGCAGCGTGTGCGCATCTATGAGTGGGCTGTGCAGTGCAGTCAATCGCTCTCCACTCTAGTGTTCTTTTAAGCACCAGAGAAGAAGACTAAAAAATGCACATGGTACCCAAAAAAATGGGGGTATCCTATGGTTACCAAACGAGGAAAGGAGGTTTAGGAATACCAAAAATGGCGGCATGCATAGTACCAAAAATAGAATGGATATCCTATATGCTGACAAAAGAGCAAGTAAGGAGGATTATTAGGAACCGAGACCATGGAGACTCAAAATACTTGTTTTGCTTAGCAAGTGGCTTTTAAAATTAAATCGACGAAGATGGATTTGGCAACAACTTTTTAGGAAGAAGTATTTGAAAAACCAGGAGATTTGATTTCACACTTTTGGCCGGGCACGGCCCCTTATTACCAAGATCCAAGATTGTTTTCTATAGATTTATCTAGTTTTAATCAATATGTACACAGGACACAGACCTGGTTTTTGAAATGATGCCATGAGTAGTTCAGCCAATTTTTAAAGTCCTCTGTCATTGACTTGCGAGTGGCATCTACCAATGCTTCCTTAGAAATTTCGAACATTGATCCATTTCGAACCTTCCTCAATGCTTAGAATCCCATTCCAGCTTTTTCCTCTCTTATGTTGTCTAATGACAGATCGCAAAAATCCAAGATATAGATTCCTGCCCAGCTCAGTGAGAACAAGAACAATATCATGTGGATTTCCATAGATCTGCACCTCATCCACAAGTACATTTGTTTTATTTTGCTTGAATACTGCAAGAGCTTGAATGCTGCATAATTGAAATGACAAAGTTAGTCATTACACAAAAAGCAAAGGTGCATTAGACTTTTCTCTTTTTTTTTCTTGATCCAATGCAGTGAACGAACCTGCCCGGCGGGGGTAGGTCATCAATGTATAGCTCTGGAGGCTTGCCTGATACTTTTCTGCATTCTTCCACCATCTTTTGTTCAATAATAAATTCCATTGTGGCATCCTGTAAAATATGTTTAATCCTGCCCCAAAATACAAGTACTTGAGTATAACTGCAAGGATTTGTACTCACTAATATTTTCAGGTTATATAACTTAGGAAACCCTTAATGCAAATAAGTAGCAAGTTTCAGACCTGTCATAAGACTGGCACAAGCTCTTGGCAAGGTCATTATACTGTTCAGTGTGTTTGTAGTAAACACAAAATGTTGTTGACCCGCGATGTACGATAGCTTTTAACTCACCCGCATAGAATGAACTTTCCGCAGGATTGAGTTTGAACCTGGACCAAGTATAGGATGTTAAAAACTAGATATGCAGTCTACTAAATATTAGTGGAAGTGCACTAAATATCTTACTGTCTAAGAAATCTCAGGAAATTTTCTTTGACAGTCTCACCAAAAGTAAGATGGGCAGTAGCATAAGAATTCTTGGTTGGTGGATTCCTTCTCATTAAAAAAACAATTAAAGGTATGCATCTCATGTAAAAGATTTGAGATTTCCAGAAATCTAGTACTTCATCCTTTGAGAGGTGTATTCGCACATGGACAAGGGAGGCGATGAATAACTCATATAGTATGTAAGATGACATACTTTTTATTCGAATAGAAGAACTCAATAAAACAACACCCAAACTTGACTATTTTAGTAGCTGAGAGGTTCCAGTAATTCATATGATATGTAAGGCTACATAATTTTGTTCGAATGGAAGAACTAAATAAAATGTGTCCCAAATTTGACTATTTTAGCTGCTGATAGACTTTTCTTCCATGGGATATACCGATATAGTGTACAATGGCTCTATGTCAACAGCATGAAAAATGGCAAGTCTAATTATTGAGAGAAAAAGCCAGACAGAACACTAAGTAGCAGAAGGAAAGCATGTCCCAAAAAAAAAATGATTTTTCAGAACAAGGAATATCAAACCATCTATGTGGCAAACAAGTGTTTAGGGAGTTGATCTCAGGGAAAAGAAACATTAAGGAAGCAAAGATAAAGCCAACTTAAACATGCTTACGGTTTTGTCGTTTCATCATGCGATTTAGCAAGGTGGGGTTGAGACACCTGAAAAGGTAACATTTCCATGGTTCACACCGTGGTGCATGGGATGGAACTAAGAACAATTATTGCCTTCTAGTCAGGAAAATATGTTAAGTAATCTACTCTTTTTGCTTGATCCAATGTGTGAACATACGGCAGGGGGAAGGCGGCGCGTTCAAAAAGGCTCCCTACTGTTTAATCCTGCCCCAAAATACAAGTACTTGAGAGCCTTAGAAACCCTTAATGCAAATAAGGGCAGCATAAACTGGCAACTTGGCAAGCTCATTATTCTGTTCAGTGTGTTTGTAGCCTTGTATCCGCGATGTACGATAGCAGGTGAAAGCTCTAGTTTGGTTTTGGATAATTGATGAAACCCTAAGTGCTAACCTAGTTTATCAAAGTGATTATGAGATAGATAGCACTACTCCAAGTGAGGATGCAATGGCGAAGATCATGACAATGGTGATGGCATGATGATGATCAAATGCTTAAACCTGTAAAAGAAGAAAGAGAAAAACAAAAGGCTCAAGACAAAGGTATAAATAGTATGAGTCATTTTGTTTTAGTGATCAAGACACTTAGTGAGTGTGATCACATTTAGGATCGATAGCCGTACTATTAAGAGTGAAACTAGTATTGAAATGCGGTTATCAAAGTGCCACTAGATGCTCTAACTCATTGCATATGCATTTAGGATCTAGTGGAGTGCTAACACCCTTGAAAATATTTGTGAAAATATGCTAACACATGTACACAAAGTGATATACTTGGTGGTTGGCACATTTGGGCAAGGGTAAAGAAGATAGAGGTGAAAAGGAGTTAGTCTTGTTTTGGTCATACCATAGTGAGTGGATGCTAGAATCACTCAGCGATTAAGAGTGATGTTGGAAGGCTAAAGTGCCACGGTCTCTAACTTTGCATATGCATTTAGGATCTAGTGGAGTGCTAACACCCTTGAAAAGTGAAAATATAGCACACATGTGCCAAAGTGATATACTTTGTGGACCGGCAAGGGTAAAGAAGATAGAGGTGAAAAGTGAGTTAGTCAAGGGTGACCGGACTGGTCATCAGGTGACGGATGACGCGTCCGGTCGAGATAAGTCGTCTCTAGATGCTTACTGAAAACGACCGGACACTGGGGGTTCAGCGTCCGGTCACTTTGAGCTGCAACGTCCGGTCATCATATGACCGTTGTGATCGGGTGCTCAGCATTTGAAGAGAGGGGACACGTGGCACACATCGCGTGACCGGATGCTGAGGTTCAACGTCCAGTCGATATGACCGGAGCGTCCGGTCACCCAGTGTTGTGCCCAGTGAAGGGGTACAACGGCTCTATTTCATGGGGGCTTCTATTTAAGCCCCATGGCCGGCTCAAGCTCACTCTCTTGGCCATTTGCATTGACATAACAACCTTGTGAGCTTAGCCAAAGCCCTCCCACTCATCTCCATCATTGTTTCATCATCATTGTGAGATTGGGAGATAATCCAAGTGCATTGCTTGAGTAATTGCATCTAGAGGCACTTGGTGTTCGTGTTTTGCTGTGGGATTCACTTGTTGCTCTTGGTGGTTGCCACCACCTAGATGGCTTGGTGCAGCGGAGGAGGATTGACACGAGTCGGTGATTGTTCATGGCCATCTCCGGTGATTGTGAGGGTATTTGTACCTTCCCCGACGGAGCGCCAAAAGGTAACTCTAGTGGATTGCTCGTGTCATTGAGTTACCTCACTTGTGGGTAGGTTCTTGCGGTGTTCAAATTGTGTGGACGAGGTTTGTGCAACACCTCTTAGCCGCCGAACCACCAAGTGTTGGTCGACACAATGGGGACGTAGCGTGTTGGCAAGCACGTGAACCTCGGGAGAAAATTGGTTGTCTCTTGCCATTTGGTATTCTCCCAGTGATTGATTTAATATTCACCTTGTGATTGGTTCACTCCTCTACACGGTGGTATAATCACCCTACTCACTCATTTATATTCTTGCAAACTAGTTGTGGCAAGCTCTTTAGTGTAATTAGAATTAAGAGCTTGCTTTGTTATTTTAAGTTCATCTAGTGGAGCTCTTTAGAGTAGCAAGATTGAGAGCTCTTAGTGAGTAGTAACATTGCAAGTTGTGTGCCTAATAATCATTGCAACTAGAATTGTTGGATAGGTGGCTTGCAACCCTTGTAGAGCTAGAGCAAGTTTGCATTTCGCTATTTGTCATACTAATCAAATTGCTCTAGTTGATTTATAGATTTTTAAATAGGCTATTCACCCCCTCTAGCTATATTAGGACCTTTCAAGTGGTATCAGAGCCGTGGTCACCGTTTGATTAAAGGCTTAACAACCTCGGTGTCAAATTATGGCTCAAGTTGTGTTCAACCATGTGGGGGGCAAACCACCATTCTTTGATGGCACATGCTATGATTATTGGAAGAGAAAGATGAGGATGTATCTTGGTTCAATCAATGATCAAGTATGGGAGGTGACCGAGAATGACTATGCTATCATTGATCCCGACAATCCCACCAACCAAGACAAGACCAACAAGCAATGCAATACAATGGCTCTCAACACCATATACAATGCTATTGATTCCAAGGTGTTTGAGCAAATCAAGGATTGTGAAAGAGCTAATGAGGTGTGAAGGAGATTGGAGGAAACATATGAGGGCACACCAGCGGTGAAGAGTGCCAAGTTCTACAACCTCAAGGATAAGTTGACAAGCTTCAAGATGAACGATAATAAGAGCATTCCAGAGATGTTCCATCGGTTGCAAGTAATTGTAAATGACTTAAAGGCTTTGGGAGAGAAGATCAAGGATGATGATGTCTCTCATCGGTTCTTGATGTGCTTACCTCCAAGATTTGAGATGTTGAGATTGCTTATCATAAGAGGAGGATTGAATGAGATTACCCCTAACCAAGTACTAGGTGATGTCATGACCCAAGAAACATACCGTGTGGAAAGAGAGGGGGATGACAAGGATGACAAGAAGGAAGAAGACAAGAAGAAGAAGAGTATAGCATTCAAGACTAGCTCATCATCATCCAAGAACAAGAGCAAGTCCAAAAAAGAATTAAGTGATGATGATGATCTTAGTGATATTGATGATGAAGCTATGGTCCTCTTTATACGTAAGATGGGAAAATTCATGAAGAAGAAGGGCTATGGTGCAAGAAAAAGAAGAGATCACACCAAAAGCAAAGAATATATGAGAAGATGCTACAATTGCAAGAGTCCCGATCACGTTGTAGCAAATTGTCCCTACAATAGTGACAATGATGAGGATGAGAAGAAGAAGCACAAGAAGGATAAGAAAGAAAAGAAGGAGAAGAAGGAAAAGAGAATGATCTTCCAAAAGAAGAAGAAGGGTGAAGGCTATATGGTCACTTGGGATAGTGATGGCTCTTTGAATAGTGATGACTCTAGTGATGATGGCAAGAAATCTATCAAGAAAGCACTAACAAGCATCGCCATCAACAACAAGCCCTCCATCTTCGACACTCCTTCGACATGCCTCATGGCAAAACCTACCAAGGTAAAATATGATGTGAGTGATGATGATGAATGTGAAAGTGATGCTTATAGGAGTGATGATGATGATGAGGAGTACTCCAAGGAGGAGCTCATGGACATGTGTGAGCAAGTGCATACTTGCTTTGAGATGAAGAGAAAGGAGTGCAAGAAATTAAACAAAAAAGTCAAATTTCTTGAGCAATCCCTTGATGAGCTCAATGCCACTCATGAGAGGCTAATGGAAGCCTATGAGAAGCTTGGCAAAGCTCACTCTAAGCTTGAGAAAGCTCACTCCTCTCTCATCGAGCAAGTCAAAGAGGAAGCCAAGAAGGAGCAAGTGATTGTATCATGTGATGTGAGATTAACATGTGATCTTATTGATGAATCTTTTTATAAGCCCATTATAGTTGCTCCCACTAATACTTCTTGTAGCACTACTACTTCTACTTCACCTTTGA